ATTCAGGCGTAGGAACATAAACTGCACATGCATTCAAACAATCTTAAGAACTTAGATTACTTTTCGCTAAACTCAGGCTGTGAAACCCACTCTCCTACACAACGAATTGCAGTTGTTATTAAATTGTTTAAATTGCAATAAACTATCTTGTTCCGTAAGCCGGAGACCACTCTGAAACACCGTGCCTGTCGAGTTCCCCTGCCTATGACGAGCACTAAAATTCAGCATCCACCGAAACGTGGATGTCCGGGCACAGTTACACATTCAGGTTTTCTTCCAAAACCCACGTTTGTCTCTCAGGTACTCATGATGTCCACGAGTTATTCCTCTTGATTTTGGATACCATCTACTGATATCTGTTCGCAGTTGTGCGAGCAACCGGGAACGACGGTAGTACTGCACATTGCTACAGTTTGGCAAACAGGGAATAAAACCGAATTTCGCTCCTTTCGTTACACGATGCGTGAACGCACATTAATTGGATATTCTTATATAGTTATTATTAAATTATAAAAGAGGCTGTGATTTGCCATCAGTCCCCATCTATCTCGAAGTCTATTATTAAATTTTCACGTCACAGCAAATGCATGAGTGTTACGAAATTCCGGAATGTCAACAATGCCTTATCCGTGAGCCCTCGACAGCGAACATAAGGACCGACGAGCAAATAATCAAACTATAAAGATGTCACTTTTGGCCGTTCGCTCAACCGGATAATTAAGCTTTTGTGAGCTGCGAAGCGAACCCGTGCCAAAGGAGCCTACGGTGAAACGAAGGATGTTCGCAGCGTGTGCAGAAATATACTGTTTGTAATTTTCGCATACTCCGGAAACTACAACTGATTTGTGGGATGCAAATAAACAGATTATGAGAATTGTGACAATTTGGGCACAAAGCACCTCTAGTGAGGAATTTCCTAATAGTCCGTATTTCACGAGTTGTTTGCTATGTGAACGGTAATCATGAAAGCACTGTTGCCCAACAACGAGACGTTTCCGAGTATCTACGGTTGTCTGGAGGTGAATTACTAATAACAGAGTATGTTGAAAGTACGCGTAATGGGAACACATTACTGGTTGAGTAAAATCCCATAAATGTCACCAGGACAATGGTCTTTTATTCATATCGTTTAGGATGGGTGCGTCACTATTCCGTTATGAATTATATAAGCAGTGCCTTAAGTAATCAATGCATCGTGAAACCTACCATGTCCTGAAGTACTGGCTGGAGGCATAGTTGTCATCATGTCTGGATTCGTCGATGTTGGATGAAAAGACGTTATGCAAGTTACGATCAAATTAGCGATAAAAAATTCGTCATGCCTATAGAAAATTATTGAAGGTTTTCCTAGACTTTGAAGGTGAAATATTGCGCGCCTTCATTGGTGTTATTTGTAGACCAGGTGAACCATAGATCATTGAAGGTGAATTTTGAAAATTC